AATTATTGTTTTTGGAATTTCTTTTGATATTCACGATATTAAAAAATGCATTCTGATAGTGTAAATTAATTCTTCTAAATTACAAATGAAATATTAATTTTATTTTTTAATTGCATAGATTAATTGCAAAAGTGGCAATTATACTTTCCCTTGGAACTTCTTCTGAATTCCAATATAAATTTTCCAAACGATTTACTGTCTCATTTAATTAATATTATACTAATTATTATAATCTCGATATATTAACTTCCACTACACCTAATTTTCTTATGACTATCAAAATTTACATCGCTGTGCATAAATATTTGGACATCTTTCAAATGATTGTAACATAAAATAGAGTTCAATCGAATTAATCTTAGCTGCAGTTAACAAATATTGATAAGAAGCTAATATTATAATAATAATATTATAATAACTACGGCTGAAGATTCTTTAAATATACACATTTATTGTTGAAACTCTAAAACGATTGAAATATTTATTTTTAACCACACTGACACATAGCTTTACGAAGCATCAGACGTTTGTTAGAAACAAATTGTGGAACACAAAAATACAGAAAATTAACACCAATCGTAACCAAACTGCGTCTTTATACGTTCGAGGGAAATTTGAAGATTCAAATGAACACGGGTGACGTGCAAAAATATCCAAGGTACGATATTCGTGGATTAAATAAATTCAGTACCGATTCAATAATTTAGTAAACTGAATACACATCTGGTAGGTTACGTTTCTATTTCTTTCAAATGAATTTATACAATGACAATTGTCGAGAAACGCAGCAAAATGGAGCTGCGCCAATTGCAAGTGTCCCTTGCAATTATTTATATACACCTTGCGCCAAAATGTCTTCAAACCTCGGAGATATTTGTTTTAGTGAATCGCACATGTGTCAAAGAGAGAATGGTTGTTTCGTTGCTTGGCGAAATTCGCGTTGATCTTTGGACAAGTTGCACGGGGGTTTCAGCAATTTTTCCAAATATCACGCGCGATGAAAGAGATCCACGTCGACGGCCTGGATGCTTGAATAGATCATTCTCGGTCGGGTTGCCGAATGTTCTGCACGATGCAACGGCCGGGTACTTGCATCTATACAGGTTGCATCTATGCAATGGCATGCATTCGTACTTTGATCACATCTCCGTTAGAATAGCTACCACTTCTCTCTTTCTCTCTCTCTTTCTCTTTCTCTGTACACCGTTTGGAATGATCACGGCTTTCGGGATGAAACGAGACTTTGATATTATTTATAGGTTGGCGAAAAATCGTTCGTTTAGAATCGACTGCCAGCGTCAAACGATACACCGAACACTATTGACAATTCGCTTGGAAAGTTACTTGGACGAGAAAATAATTTCGCACATACTTTAGTGATCGTGTACCTACAGTTTTGTTAGAATTAATTTGTAGCGGATTTCTGAGAAATCTGGAAAATGATTTCGATTGATTCTCGTACGAAGAATAAGGGAAAAACACAGGTTTGCACGGAGAAAATTAATTTTTAACCTTTCTAGCGAAAATTGGGAATTCTTTGGAAATAATATTGATTTTTAAGAATATTCTATAATTTTGTTAGATCCTTAATTTCTTTAGATCATTAAGTATGTAGGTCTTCTATTTCGAAATCTTCCGATAATAATATCAGTTTAAAATTAAGGTAATGTTAACTTTGTTTCCAGGAGCATTCTACAATCTTCGAATCTTCTATTTCCAGCGACCTAAAATGATATTAATTTATTATCGAACGCAGCTACTTTGACATTTCTCACGCTTCTTATAAATAGCTGTCTTCTTTTAACCTTTGAGAAATCTTTCTACTACATCTAACCAATGTAAACTTCAAGACTTTTTGACAAATTAAACAAACATGTATAGTATATGAATTAAAATTTATGAACGGTGAATTAAAAACGGAGCCAAGTTTCATTTCTTAGAGGCTCGTCGAAAGAATGAAACAAACTCCTTGGTTCAAGATTCGACTGCGCAATCAACGTGTTAACAAACTCACCTCGCCCACTTCTTCATAACGAGAGAAGATTCGTTCAACTCTCGATGCGAACTGGCAAAGCATCGCAGCAAAAAGGAGAGAGAGAGAGAGAGAAAAGCTTATCTCGTTGCACGGGTAGATCGGAAGCGGAAGCAGACTGCGAGCGGCTGTTTGAAATTTTACAACGCGACGCACGAGTGGAGAACAGAACGGATAATACACGGCGGAGCTCGTGTCTCTCATTTCCGCCACTTGTCTGATTTTTCTTTCGCTAACCAAATGCAAATTGACTCTGTCGCGACGCAAGTTTTATTTACTCGGGAGGATTTTCGCGCGTTTACCGCGGAGATGATAAAAACTTCAATTGTGACGGAAATGATAAGAGCATCACGCTGTCTGAGATTCTCAAGAATTTTGACAAGTTAAAATTCCAAGTAACTAATGTATCTCAGTTAAAGATACTTAAGCTCTATTTTCTCAAAAACGAGAACAGTGGGCAACAAATTTTATTTAATTTCACTTTAATCACACTATACGTTATAATTATATACTAGCAACGATATAGTTCGAAGTTTTATTTTTTTGCTCGGCTGTTGGAAATTTATTAAATCGAATTTTCAAGTTCGAGTCTCTTGAATTAATTTAACTCATTATTACAGAAAATATCATGTGCACAACCTACGCGATATAAATGTTTCGTCAAATTAAAATTACTTATATGAATATTTCTATTCCTGATGTATTTGTACATAGGAATATGTAAATCGTAGAAATTACACATACGCGACATCCACGAATGATAAACATATGATACACCTGTATAGAAATAACGAAATATGAACATTTCTATTCCCAATATATTTAGTAGGTAAATTATAAACGTGAACATTGCCACGTAGATCTAAATACATATATTCGGCGAAAATTGCGCGTATTGTTCGACGACTGGATTTAACGCCATTGTCACAAACTTTCTGGGCGATAATTCACATTCATCGGGCAACTATCGGACTGTAACTAGCAGCAACGAGAACCGAGTAATACGTCAAACGCATATCTATTCTCGACAACGCTGTTACAAACTGCACCAACAATTGGCTGTCATAAAGTGTTCTCCCTCTGTGACCATGACTAGTACCATCGATAATTATCCCTTTTTGTTCGAACTCCATTAATTACCGGATCACTGTCACCGCATTCTCGTCTGTGATCAAACAAATTTTTTTATCACGTTTCCTCGGTTTTTCCTCGAAGCTGAAGGAGCCGAGCTGTGAAATTAGGACACCCTACGCCCAAAACTGGGAATTCGAGAATTTTGTAATCAAAGTTCGAACCTCGATTTGAAATTGGAATTCCCCCAAGTTGGCGTGTCACTAAAGAGGCAGATTTAAATATAAATTGAACTACGAAAATTCGAACTCCCGTCGAAACGTAAAATGTCGCACTCTCCAACCGAGACTTTGATTTTTGCCAGGGGGGAAAAAAAAGAAAGAAAAAAATGGTAACTTTTTCACAATTTTAAATTCTATCAGTTTCCAATTCGAAGGAACTTTCCAGTTCCTCTCGCGATCATCAATTTCGACAATTTCCGTTCTTTTTTTTTTTTTTTTTTTTTTAAATTGCGGTTTGGCCAATTTGATAAATTCCCAATTCTCGTCAGAAATCCGAGCTTCGTAGCTCAACTTTTTTCATTTTCTTTTTTCTTTTTTTTTTTCAATACACTGCTCTATTTTTATGTCAATTTCCACGAAATGAACGCGTTGTTGTGTGACCTATATTTATAGCGCAAAGTAATATTGCTATCGATCAGCATCGAAGCGGATATGAACAATTTTGACATCGACACGTAACGTTGAACGCGACTCGATTTATTCCAAACAACCGCAGATTGCGCGATAGATCGAATTAGACGCGTGACAAACGCTTTTGAAATGTACAGAATTTTCTCTTATCCTTTCTCTTTTTTCATAAACCGAGTCAGCAGTGACAAAATTTGTATTTTTCAGATAACGAGCATTTTCAACGGAAAATTACCGAGAGTTTCAGGTATCACGAGATGTAAAATTCGTAATAAAAAGAACGCTATCTCGTTATCCGTGTTACGTTTTTCACTCGATGATAGATATAAATGAACAATAAATCATAAAATTTATGCCTGCGACATCGAATACATTTGCAGAAATATTACTAAATATTATACAGCATGCAGAATATTATATTTTATTTTACACGCGTTCCAATTGCAGAAACATTCGTATTTAATAATAAATATTTCTTTCCATTGGCCAAAGTTCTTTAAAAAAAAAAAAAAGGAAAACAATATTCGATATTAATACTCACAGCCAAACAAACTCACAATCAACGACGACCTATTTTCTTTCTGACAGTTCGGGTTACTTTGATTAGAAATTCGATGCGTACTAATTTCGACATTCGAAACTTTTTTTCCGATAGATATCCCGCGCGCAGAAATAGAATTTCAACGAAACTTTATACGACTCTTCGATATCGAGTGTGATATTAATTTCCAACGTTTTTGACTATTCGTCACAGCGTGCCGAATGAAGGAAAAATATTTAATTAATAATGTGAAAATCGTTTCTTTGCAACGTGCAAGGAGATTCCAACTCCAAACCAAAATCGACATTTTGTTTACTTATGATTCGAGTTTCGTTCATTAGTATCTTAATTTAGATGAACCTTTCAAAGAATCAATCCTCGGACGTTCTTCTATTTTGAACAGCAGAAATAATTTTTCAACTATATGCAAAAATCCTAGGCTCAATGTCGAACAGATCGAAGACACAAATTTGAAATTTGAAGTAAACACTGATCGTCCTTTCTTATTTTCTCTGTCACATTCTTGCACGAGTTTCTATCGTAATTTTCGGAATTTTGGCAGACAGTGACGAGCTTTACCGCTGCCAGTCACGAGCTAGACCCGACCAGACTAGAGTCTCGCACTCTCTGATCCTCTGATCTGTGTTTGGATTTCAGAGACAGCCAGAGAGATACAGATTTTCCGTCGGCGGCCCGGTAAAATCAACAGACGCCGCGGAATATCAGAAGCTTCGGGGGATGCGAAAACCGGTGGACGATGTCGATGAGACCGGGCTTGGGGCCCAAGTTGTTTCTCGTGCTGGTGACGACCACGATCGTTATCGGCAATTATCAACGGCATCGCGAGAGGACTCACCTGCGCGAGCAGCTCGTTAACGGCCACAAAATCACCAGGAACGTCACTCGATTGCAAGGTATATGCCGCAGCACACCAGTTTAGACGGAACCTCGTTGATTCTGCGAGTATTTCGGTGTTTGTTGTGTTTAACGCCTAAAGGCCCAAGTGGCGGAGAAAGATGAAATTCATGTTTTCTAAGAAACGGATTATTATCCGTAAAAAGACGCCTTTCTTTCTTTCAAGCGCATGAGTGTAATATTTTGACAATTGATTTATTTGGTTCGTTCAAATCTTCTTTGATAAATGAAATTCATCAAATTGATCGTCGATTTTCTTCAATTTCGAGGAGTAATTCCAAATTTAGTTCGAAACGAACGTGAACAGTGAGACGTAGTGACCAAAACCAACGAGATGTGGAAATAGGATTCGTATTTTTCCATGAAACTAACTTTCGTATCTGAAATAAAATCAAAGTGAAGTTCAACTTTTACATACTACATACGTGCTGTTAGTTAGGGAATTCTGCCGTGCGAATTTTTAAAATTCTAAAATCTTCCATGATAAAAGGGACTCGTACACTTAATACAAATTGCAATATAATTAAATCACTGTCTGAGTTTCTTACTTTATAAAATTCATTAAGATCAGGCCGTTAGAAGATGAAAGACAAGATTGTGCACGATCGAACTATATTTCTTACTTCGTAGACAAAACCTGGACAATCGAACGATTAATACCTTGCGCTGGCAACTGGTTCGCGGACCATAACGAGTGACCGAACCGTATACAAAAAATTCGTCGCTTTCTCTTTTGTTTTTTCAAACTCGTCGGTATGACATCACTGGAAGTAAGAAGTAATAAACTTATCGTTTGTTTCACCTGGGTTACATTTAAATATGCTTAAAAACCTGAGAAAATGTTGCAATTTGGGACAAAAATTGGCTGAACAGGTTAAACAAACTGGAATAATTATTGATAAATGAAATCATTAACCATGTGTATTATTACATAATTATATCAGATTTCTGACTTTCTAGAATCTCTTGAAATCGAACAATATTACCATATTAATCGTTATTATATTTATTTCGGATTTCCGACCTTTTTAAGATTCATCAAACCCAAACAACGTTTGATCGAACGATCATTAGCACGACGACGTTTAGAATCAGTCGACGAACGTACACGTGAAAATTTGTCACGCGCACGTTTCCACGTTGGAACAACGCTCGTTTCTAACGTTAGAAATCGCACGAGACGGTCCGTGCGAAAGAGACCAGTCGTGTCGTTTTGTTTTAATTAACGTCCCGGAGTTTATTCGTTGTCATTTGCTCGGCGAAAGAAGCGCAGCCTGGCGCCGCGTCGACGGGCAAAAACTCGCCGTATAATTAACTGTTATTTAACACCTGGGGATCTCGTTATGAAGTATCGCAAATTAGAAAAGTTCCCGTCCGGCGGCAATTGTGCCACGCGTATTGTTCCCATTTAGTTACGAAGTTCAGCTTCGGGACTCCGCCGCTGCCCTGTTTAATAAACGCGTTCGCAGAGAGTGGAAGGCGGAAAATCAGCGGCGGGAACGTGTTCCCTTGCTCTTGCAGACACGAGAGCTACAGGTGCGTCATCGGGAGTCATAAATTCGCGTCAGCCTTGCCTAACGAGACAGGCGAGAACGCGCGGCGCCGTTAAGTGGGATTAATACGTCGAATCCTCGCGATTATCAGGAGAAATAATTGCAGAAATATATTCTCCCGGAGTAAAAATTTCGTAGACAGGAATCGAACTTCGTTTCAATTGTAAAATATAATGTGATACGATGGAAAGGACAACGAATCGTAATTTCGTAATTTTTCCTTTAAAAGCGAGCAGTTGCTTGATTTGAAAAGATTCTCCAGAAAGAAACGGAGCTGAGTTTTAACCAGAAGGTTAAAAATTTACGATGCAAACTAGTGACAAAGGCAAATACAATCGATGATCTTCCTTCTTGCCCCTTCGCCTCCGCGAAATTAATTCACAAGCGGAGAAAAGTTGAAGAAAACACCGATTTTGCTGAATTGGCGCCAGAAATTTGCAAAATTTCTCTCTCTTTCTGTCTCTGCGATGAAAATTTCGAAACAAAGGTGACACGAGCGTGGGTGGGTAAACTTCACCAGGTTAAGGAATCGTCGCGGAGTGTGTTCCAAATTCCGCGGCCCCGAGAGTCGAAAGGTGAATTTTCTGACGAATAAATCGCCGATAAATCGCTAGCACGCGCGCTCGATGCAGAACGAGGTGTTATCGAACACGATGCCGACGCGACGTGACGTTGCCACTCGTTTTTCACCGTTGTTCGATGCTTGTCTAAAAATCAACGCTCGCGATATCGCGTGTCTCTGCTCCTGTTTCCGAGCTCTCCACAGGAGAATTGCCTTCGTCAACGTCGATTCGTTTTCTTCCTTTAATACACTTTGAGAAGAACTCGTCTCGTATTTGTTTATTGTAATCTACTTCTTCGAGTACAAGTGGAGAATTTTTCAAAATTTGTCAGAGAACTTTTCCTTTAGAGGAGGAGACGAATTTCGGAAATGTTTCTTAGAAAGTTTGTCGCAAACAAGCGAATACGTCGTTTCACTATTTTCTCAAATAGTTGATAAATCACTAATAAAATTATTTACTCGACATCATCGAGTGATTCACTGTATACGAATCGTTGCTCATTATTTTCGCAGGTTACTGACACAAATCACTCGATATTACTATAAACAACGTACAAAGTGAAAAGTTTGTCCGTGTAGGCGAATTCATTGATCCACGTCACTTCGCTTCTCATTCATTCATCATAAAACAGTGTCGAGACTTTCGAGAAAGATTCTGGCGCATCCAAAATGACTCCCGAAACTGAGAAACAATCCAAATTTTCAGCCCACGTTTTAAATTTGTGTCTTCAACATTTCGCTTCTTGCCGGCTGTGGTTACGGTCGCGGGTAAATCGAGAACAGTAAGAGAACAAAACGCTCCGAAAGACGTGAAACATACGTTGCCGTGGTTTTCTCTCCTCGCGTTGCTGTTACATGCTTTCTGTTACACGCTCGGGAGAAAGAAAAAAAAAAATTCTACAGAGCAAGACTCGAAAGCTAGCTAGTAGCCCACTCGCATTCGTTCCACTTACGACCGCGGAAAAATTAGTAGCGCTTTAAATGAACGAACAACTATCCTCGTGATTACGATCGTTTTATCGAAGCTTCCGTTTCTTCTTCTTTACGGTCACTACGGTTTACAATCGCGGTTATTTGCCTGCGACGTATTCTTTTTTTTTTTTCCAAGCTGAAGCCAGCAAGAAATGCAAACCAAGTCTTCGAAAGAGGGACCAAAAATTTTTGAATGACCCGTTCCGTGAAACGATTCTTTCTTTAACATACTCGAGATTTTGGAGAGAATATTCTCAACGTTTCCAAGAAAACTTTGCAATTTTCCTGTATTCGGCCTGTCTTCCTCTGGGTCGATTATTTAGTACACGATATTAAAATGAATTTTGAAAAATGCTGAAATTTTTACATACTTCAGAAATAAAATTATTCGTGTTATATAAATTTATTCTTGGACCGATTATTTTGCATATTAATATTAAAATTAAATAACGCGTCGACTGTCACAGTCAATCGAATAAATTGAACGTCTGCTGTTGTAAAACAGAAAGTGATAATGTTATTATAAATATTAAAATGAATTTTCATACAATCGAAGGCTTTGTTCTACAATTCAATAAAGTGAAGAATAGAACGGAATTTTTATAATTTTAAACCCGAAATCTGTTAAATCTGTCACTCGCTGTGTAAAATACTTTTCCAAATACATCTCGATACACGTTCTCACGACCGTGACGATGTTACTTCGCGGGCAAATATAGGGCGTTCGCGAAATATCTCGCTTATATCACTGTTTCGCGTTACGAGGTTACTCGCGACAAGAATATCCCATCACACGCGGCTGTAGTAAAAAAAAAAAAAAAAGAGAGAGAAAAAATTGGGATTAACGTCCTCGATAAAGACCGAAAAAACCTTTATTTTCAGCTACGAAATTTTCGTTCAAACAGAGACACCAGAATTGGAAACGCGACTCGTGAATGTTCAAGGACTTGAAGTGGGCTGAATTTTTGATACTTGTGGCACGTTAATTACTACGAACATGACTTCTCAATTTCGTTTCAAGCGTTCTTCCTCAATTTCGAAAGACACTTCCACGAAAAATCCCTCGTCGTCTTGGAGTTGGGTAAATTTGACTTGAAATAGAGATTTAAGCATCACCGCTTCGAATAACGAATCATTTCCATTTTACCTTTCATCATTCGTTCAAATTAGGTAAATCGTTTAACAGACATTCCCTCGTTCGAGTTAACGCGATTGAAACGAAACGGCAAATTGAAATTGACGCGATGGTATTGAAAATTGTTTGAGAAACGGTTCGTAGAAACAAACATAGAAGTAAAAGATCATTGTACAATATTCGATGATCGAACAACTTCAAGAAAAATCACGTGTATAATATAAACGTATACTGAATTTAAATTTTTATCGTTGTACTATTTGTAAACTTTGTGACTTTCATTTCATTTTTACTACTGTACTTTATGCACACTGTGTTCTCGAATTTATTTTTAACTTATCGTATTTTGTTACCTCGCGCAATTTACTGCTTTTCAAACAAGCATCTCGTGCGAAGAAATATGCTCGAGTGTACTGTCATTCGACAGTTTGATCCGATTAAATTGAACGGGGTGTGCGAGCATCCGCACATTTCACTTGTTAGCTCATCATTGTTCAAAATTCTATGCTAAACGTCTTGCGTCTTGTCTAGCTGTCCCATTGAGCTCAATTCAATCTACAAGTAATTACATACAGCACCTGCTGCCTATTGTCACATTGAAACAAAACAGTCGCGAGACGACCTTGTCTCGTTGAACGGAATATTCAGAGCTAAACGGGGGGCAGGTACAAGATCCAATCCAAGAAACTTAGTCGGTATTAATTGTTACGCGCGTGTATTAACGCGTCGACTATCACAGTGTAAAATCATTCAGAGTCGATCGAATGAATTGAACGT